TAGTAGAGACAGTGTTTCACCATGTTAGCCAGGATGGTCTCAATCTCCTGACCTCGTGATCTGCCTGCCTCAGCTGCCCAAAGTGCTGGGATTACAGGCACGAGCCACTGCACCTGGCCAAAAAAAAAAAAAAGTTTTTATCATGTGTGCAAGGAGTGGTTAAGTAAATTATGGGCAAATTCCTTCAGGGGAAGATTAACAAGACACTAAAAAACATGATGGTATACAATGTAGTGAAATGTTTACTATATTTAAATGAAGGGGTAAAGAACAGGATGTGAATTGGTACCTAGGTGCAACCTACAGACTAAGGATTTGTGTGGGCAGGAACTGAAAAAAGAAACAAAACCTAGAGGCCAGCTGATGAGTCACGGGGTAGGTCAGTGGTGACCTCTCTCACCCTTGCATTTCCTTGACTGCTATTACAATTATTGTTGCAATTAAATAAAAATTGAGGCAGAGGGCTGGGGGTGGTGGCTCACACCTGTAATCCCAGCACTTTGGGAGACCAAGGCGGGTAGATTACCTGAAGTCAGTAGTTCGAGACCAGCCTGGCCAATATGGTAAAAGCCTATCTACTAAAAATACAAAAATTAGCTCGGTGTGGTGGCGAGCACCTGTAATCCCAGCTACTCAGGAGGCTAAGGCAGGAGAATCACTTGAACCAGGGAGGTAGAGGTTGCAGTGAGCTGAGATTGCACCACTGCACTCCAGACTGGGTGACAAGAGTGAAACTCCGTCTCAAAAAACAAAAAAAAAAATTCGGGGAGAGAAAAGAGGAAAGGACTTCCACAAGTCAAATGGAAAGAGAACTTTGGAGAAATATGAGTTCTGTGTCTATGAAGCCAGTTCTGCCAAATTTTCTGGTATCTTTGGAATCCCTCCCTATCCTAACCATCCCTAGATGGGGACCTCTCCCTCTCGTGTGCATGGCACTGAGATGCAGGGATTCAGGCCTAAGCTGCAGGAGCCTTCCAGACAAGATGCTAACACCAACAGCTACACAAGGAAGGCACAGGTCTCAGAGAAGACACTGAACGAGGAGCTCGAAATCTCAGGGGGTTGGCAGACATGGCCCAAAGTTCAAGGATGGGGTCCAGGCCAGCTGCTGAGTGGACGGTGAGATGCAGCAAGGTGTGGAGGGCTTGTTGGAAAAACAGCAGCTCCGAAAGACAAATGTGACAGGTAGGGAATTCATGCTGAGAGCAATTAGACTCAGAGCACAGCCCGGAAACACTGATTTTTGAGGACATAACAGAGAAAAAGACATCCAGGGGAGGGCAGAGGAGAGGAGGTGGGAAGAGAAAAACAAAGAGGACAGGAGTGAGTGGCAGGGGTGAGGTGAGCCAGGAATAGGTGCCAGTTCTACCCTTGCAGCCCAGGCCCCAGCAAGGTCCAGCCCACCTCTCTCACCTCTTGACGTTGCTGTGGATGATCTCCAGACCATGCAGGTACTCGACGGCACAGAGCAGCCCTGAGCAGATGCTGACACGCTGGGGCCAGGGGAGGGGGTCGGAGCCACCCTAAGAGAAAGAAAAACAGGACAAACAGTCACAATGTACCTTTCTAAGTCTTGATGGTGGCCGGGCGCAGGGGCTCACACCTGTAATCCCAGCACTTTGGGAGGCCGAGGCGGGCGGATCACGAGGTCAGGAGATCGAGACCATCCTGGCTAACACAGTAAAACCCCATCTCTACTAAAAATACAAAAAATTAGCCGGGCATGGTGGCGGGTGCCTGTAGTCCGAACTACTTGGGAGGCTGAGGCAGGAGAATGACGTGAATCCAGGAGGCGGAGCTTGCAGTGAGCCAAGATTGTGCCACTGTGCTCCAGCCTGGCAACAAAGCGAGACTCTGTCTCAAAAAAAAAAAAAAAACAAAGTCCTGATGGCAGGGTCCCCAGCTCCTGACCCTCCTCCTGCCCTTCATGTCCTTTGCCAGAGGGCTCAGCATGATACTGCGAGTTTTTCATTGTTTTTGTTTGTTTGTTTGTTTGCTTGTTTTGAGACAGGGTGTTGCTCTGTCACCCAGACTGGAATGCAGCATCATAGCTCACTGTAGCCTTGAAATCCCAGGTTCAAGTGACTCTCCCGCCTCAGACTCCCAAGTAGCTGGGATCACAGGCACGTGCCACCACTCCCAGCTAATTTTTGTATTTTTCGTGAATACAGGAAATGTGGCCATGTTGGCCACGCTGGTCTCGAATTCCTGGGCTCAAGTGATCCACCCACCTCGCTCTCCCAAAGTGCTGAGATTACAGGCATGAGCCATGTGCCTCACCCTATACTATGGGTTTTGACATCAGACAGATCTAGAGGTAACTCCCAGTTCAGATATGCACTAGCTATGTAATTTTGGAAAAAGACACTTAATGTCTCTGAGCTTCAGTTTCCTTGGGTATAAAATGGAAATGTTAATCCCTATGTTTTAGGGTTGCTGTAAGGATTCAAGGAAATATATGGTATGCCCCTAGCATAGCACCTGCCACACAGTAGGTGCCCAATCAGCGGTTATTTTCATCATGTCTATTATAGTGGCTGCTCTGGAATTTCTCTCAGAAAGAGGCTGGTTGGGAGAAGAGCTAGGGAGCTTGTGTGTGAGAGCCAAGCACCTGGGCCTTACGCTGATTTTATCTGTATTAGGGGAAACTTCACCAGGGCTAACTCTCATTTGCTCCCACTGTTGTTCTAAGACTGACTCTCCCAGGCTAAATCATCACTTTTTTTTTTTTTTTTTTTTGAGACAGAGTCTCACTTTGTCACCCAGGCTGGAGTGCAGTGGCACAATCTCAGCTCATTGCAACCTCTGCCTCCCGGGTTCAAGTGATTCTCCTGTCTCAGCCTCCTGAGTAGCTGGTACCACAGGCACATGCCACTATGCCTGACTAATTCTTATATTTTTAGTAGAGACAGGGTTTCACCATATTGGTCAGGCTGGTCTCAAACTTCTGACCTCAAGTGATCCACCTGCCTCAGCTTCCCAAAGTGCTGGGATTACAAGAGTGAGCCACTGTGCCCAGCCTCATTACTTATTTTTGAAGCCCTGGAGTAGGACCCACATCCACTAAGAACTGGCCTGGACAACCCCTGCTAATTTCTTCTAAAAAACTCTGAAACCTAGAGCCAGACAAACCCAATGTAAGCTCTGGCCTGACACTTGTCTCCTATGTTCCTTTGGGCAACTCACTTTGTCTCTATGTGTCAGAGATTCCTCTTTTGAAAAATGGGAGAAGAAAGTGCTTTGGCTGTGGCACGGCCTGGAGGAGATGACCTGTGTAAAACCCTTATCAAAGCAACCTGCACACAGTGAGTGCCCAGAAAAGCTAATGATCATTAGTATGCCATGAATAACTGCTTTGTCTGGTCTCTGCCATGGGAAGCAATAATTCTGTTATGGAATAACTCTTTCCCCTCTATTTGAGGATACGATAAGCAGAGGCCTGTTTTAAAACACTGTAATTTTTATTAAGGATTACCTTCACATGATGTAATACTCTAATAGTAAGTTTGCTTCTTATTCTGGGCCCCAATCACCTAGTTCTCTTCCCTAGCAGTAGCCAGTGAACCAGCTTCTTGTGTATCTTTCCAGAGATATTCCATAAACACACAAGCAAATAGGTATATATTAGAAGAACATTTTATAACAAAAATTCACTTCTACTTTTCCATACTCTTTACCTCTTAATTCTTTTTCTTGTCCTACTGCATTGGCTAACACCTCCGGAACCACAATGAACGAAGTTCGTTCTGTGAGATACTTTTGTCATGCTCTTGATTTGAATGAAATGCCTCTCATCAAATTTTTTTATAGATTTTTTCCTGAAGATGTTTAATCAGATCTTTTTGTGCTTTTCTTTTTCTTTTTCATATTTTGTCATCCTCATTCAGGAGCCATGCTGATCTTCTCTGTATCGTTCCAATTTTGGTACCCATGCTGCCAAAGTGAGCACTTAACCAGATTTTATGTATCCTGGCCCCACTTCTCTCCTTGAAGTCTCCCTGGTCTCACCTAGATGGCCCCTCTCCCCTCTGAATTTCTGTAAGTCCTTAACCCTTGACCCCACGGCTGGGTGCAGCCTGGTCCCATTCTCTGACCATGACCCAGTCCCTTACCTGACCCTGCAGTCTGTCCTGTAGGGAACCATTTGCCATGTAGGGGTAGATGAAGCTGTGAAACTGTCTTGCAGCACAGAAGCCCAGCACAGGTAAGACATTGGGGTGGCAGCATCTGGAATCGGGCATCAGTGCAGGGGTGAGGAGTCAGACGGAAAGAATGATCTACTTCCTCATGTCCCACCCCTCTTCTGCCCTCTCCTCCTCCAACGCCACCAGTAACCTCCCAGGTTACTGGTGCTACATGCTCTGACCCCTAAGGGCCTGGCCCGAGTGGAAAGATGAAAACTGCTTGCCTTCAAGGAGTGTGGCGGTCCTCACCCTGCTTTACTGCTCTGCAGCACGTGACACCTCAACTGCCCCATCTCCAGAAACAGAGACTGAGAGCTTAAGGGACTTGCCCAAGGTCAGAAACTAGCAAGCAGTAAAGCCAGGACCAGATCCCATATCTGCCTGACTCTAGGACTGGGGTTCTTTCCTGAAATCCTCTTCTGCTGGTTCTCAGTCACCATTCCCTCCTGACTCTCCTCCTACGTCTCTCACCACCCTGTCCTGGCCCTTTTCACTAAGACCCCCCTCCTTTGCCTTCCTCTTTCTGCCAGCTGGACTCCTTATCTTGTTTAGCATGTTGCTCCTCCAAGAACCTCCCATTGCTATAGGGAACATTCCCAAATCTCTTATCGCCAGCCCCATCCTAAGCTCCAGACCTGAACGTCAGCTTGCATCCTGATGCTCAGGTCAACATCATCCTAGCCTCAACAAGTCCCAAACCTGTTTCTTCACCCATATTTATTATCCCAGAAAGGCACATCACCACCCACCCAGTTTCCTAGAAACCTTCTTATCTCCCATATCAAATCAGTCACCATTCACTGCCACAAATAACTTTTAAAATGTCCCTTCATTCCCCTCTCCTCTGCCTTGGGTCACTTGGATTGGGTTAGGCTCTGATTCAACCTCCCAAGACTATTGTAAATGGCCTCCTGCCGTATCTCTCCACCCTTCTCTGCTTCCCGCAAGCCAACCTATTACTCGCTTTTGCATACTCATTAGAGTTATTTACATGTCTCCCCACTGGACCATAAACTTCCCCAAGGCAGGGGCTCTGTATGCTTCTGGCCTACACTCCCTAGAGCCTAGAAAAGGGCTTGACTACTCACATTTTCTAAATCGATGAATGAAGGAGTGACTGCTGACTCCGTGAAAGCACTAAGCCAAAGTGGAAAGGGAATCATACTTCTAGTTTTTATTAGATGTGTGTGTGTGCATCTATGTGTGTGTGTGTATGTACACATGTGAGTATTCATATACATGTATGTATAGAGAAAGCATTAAAGAAAACATATCGAAATATGGGCTCGGCACAATGGCTCACATCTAAAATCCCAACACTTCAGAGGCCAAAGCAGGAGGATCACTTGAGCCAGGGAGTTCAAAACCAGCCTGGGCAACATAGTGAGATCCTGTCTCTACAAAAAAAGTTTTAACAATTAAAAAAGGAAATATATCAAAATATTAAAACAGTAGTGCTTATCTATAGGTGCTGTGAAAAATAGTTTCTGTTTTCTTATTTATAATTTTATGTTTAAATTTTTACTGTTTAAATAATTAATTAAAAAAAATTTTTTTTTTGAGACAGAGTCTCACTCTGTTGCCCAGGCTGGAGCACAGTGGCGCAATCTGGGCTCACTGCAACCCACTTCCTGGGCTCAAGTGATTCTCATTCCTCAGCCTCCTGAGTAGCTGGGACTACAGGTGCGTGCCTACACGCCAGGCTGATGTTTGTATGATAGACATGAGGTTTTGCCATGTTGGCCAGGCTGGTCTCAAACTGACCTCAACTGATCTGCCCACCTCGGCCTCCCAAAGTGCTGGCATTACAGGTGTGAGCCACCATGCCCGGCCTTTATTTATTTTTGAGACAGAGACTCACTTTGTTGCCCAGGCTGGAATGTAGTGTCGTAATCTCGGCTCACTGCGAACTCTGCCTCCTGGGCTCAAGTGATCCTCCCACCTCAGCCTCCCGAGTAGCTGGGACTGCAGGCATGCACCACCACACCCAGGTAATTTTTGTATTTTTTGTAGAGATGGGGTTTTGCCATGTTGCCCAGGCTGATCTCGAACTCCTGGGCTTAAGTGACCCACTCACCTCAGCCTCCCAAAGTGCTGGGATTATAGGTGTGAGCCACCATGCCCAGCCAAAAAAATGTTTTTTGTTTTGTTTTTGTTTTTGTTTTTGTTTTTTGAGACAGAGTCTCGCTTAGTCGCCCAGGCTGGAGTGCAGTGGCGCGATCTCGGCTCACTGCAAGCTCCGCCTCCCGGGTTCACGCCATTCTCCTGCCTCAGCCTCCCGACTAGCTGGGACTACAGGCGCCCGCCGCCTCGCCCGGCTAATTTTTTGCATTTTTAGTAGAGACGGGGTTTCACCGTGTTAGCCAGGATGGTCTCGATCTCCTGACCTCGTGATCTGCCCGCCTCGGCCTCCCAAAGTGCTGGGATTACAGGCGTGAGCCACCACGCCCGGCCCAAAAAAATGTTTTTATATATATATTTTTTTCAGTTGAGACAGGGTATAGCTATGTTGCCCAAGCTGGTCTCAAACTCCTTGGCTCAAGCAATCCTCTTGCCTCCGCATCAAAGTTCTGGGATTACAGGTATGAACCACCATACCTGGTCAATGTTCTTTATTAATTTGTTTAATTTTATTTATTTATTTATTTTTTGAGATGGAGTTTTGCTCTTGTTGCCCAGGCTGGAGTGCAATGGCGTGATCTTGGCTCACCGCAACCTCCGCCTTCCAGGTCCAGGTTCAAGCGATTCTCCTGCCTCGGCCTCCCTAGTAGCTGGGATTACAGACGCCCGCCACCACGCCTGGCTAATTTTGTACTTTTAGTAGAGACGGGGTTTCTCCATGTTGGTCAGGCTGGTCTCGAACTCCTGACCTCAGGTGATCCGCTTGCCTCAGCCTCCAAAAGTGCTGTGATTACAGGCATGAGCCACCGCGCCCGGCTAATTTTCTTTATTTTTTAACACTGGTTCCAGAATGAACAGATACTCAATTTTCTTTATTTCTTAAAATACCCTACAATATAAGGCACAAGTGTTTCAGATGAAAAATAATTTTTTTAAAAAAAAGCACACACATGGCCGGGCACAGTGTGGCTCACACCTACAATCCCAGCATTTTGGGAGGTCGAGGCAGGAGGATCACTTGAGCTCACCAGCCTGGTCAACATAGCAAGACCCCATCTCTACAAAAAAAAAAAAAAAGAAAAAGAAAAAAATGAACTGGGTGCACACCTATAGTCCCAGCTTCTCAGAGGCTGAGGTGGGAGGATCGCAAGCCCAGGAGTTCAAAGCTACAGTGATCTACGATCATTCCAAGGCCATTCTAGCCTAGGCAATAGAGCAAGACCCTATCTCTTAAAAAAGAAAAATAAAGCCTGGCACGGTGGCTCACACTTGTAATCCCAGCACTTTAGGAGACCAGAGTGGAAAGATCACTTGAGGTCAGGAGTTAGAGACCATCCTGGCCAACATGGCGAAACCCCATCTCTACTAAAAATACAAAAATTAGCCGGGCGTGGTGGTGCACACCTATAATCCCAGCTACTCGGGAGGTTAAAGCTCGAGAGTCACCTGAACCTGGTAGCAGAGATTGCAGTGAGCCGAGATCACACCACTGCACTCCAGCCTGGGAGACAGAGAAAGACTCTGTCTTAAAAAACAAACAAACAAACAAACAAACAAACAAAGAAAAAAAAAAAAGGAGAGAAGCAGATTTATTCCCATGTGGAAGGAAGGAGTTGGAGTAAGCCAAGGTTCCTTTATAATTCTAATCTAGACATAGAATTGCTACACAGGAGAAGAATGGACTCTGGAGCCAAACCAGGTAGATCCAAATCCTGGCTCTGCCACTCATTAGCTGTGTGACCTTGGATGAGACATTCAACCCCTCTGTGCCTCAATTTACCCATCTGTAAAATAATGTGATAATAGCAGCTACATTTATAGGGTTCTTGTAAGGACTAAATGACATGCCTGGCACACAGGAAGCACTATATAAAGGTTAGCCATCATCATTATTAAACACAGGATTTTCCAAAGGGGAGGCTTACCTAAGACAAATCTGCAGCTCTGCCTGGAAGAATCTTTCAATTGATCCTGGACTTGAACAGGCTGTCTGCGGAGAAAGAAATCAGAGCGTGATGATCCCGCCCCACCCCTGCAGCCTCCACCCCAACTAGAAACCAAGAAGCGCTCACCTCTCTGAGCTTCTTGAAGACGAATGGCGTCCCGTGCCTGTGCCCTCTGTAGACATCAGCAAAGGTCCCCTGGCTGATTTTGTGGTTTTGATTGAAGTCATCAGTTGCCTGGACCACATCTGCCTCACTCCAGAAAAGGTTGTCTCCAGCCAAGCTCAAAAGTTTTTCCTGCTTAGGAATGGAGGTGCTGTAGTCCTGGACACCCAGAGAGAAGAGATGGAGATTACTATGGAATCTCGTTTCCTCTGCTACCTCAAGGGACCTTGGAACAACAGAGCTGAAGGGGTGGAGGGGATCATCTTATCCAACGGAAACTGTAAAAAGGACATGGAGAGACCCAAGCTCAAATCCCAGCTCCATCTGTATCTTGTTCTGTGACCTTGGGTGAGCTACTTAACCTCTCTGAGCCTCAATTTTTTCCATCAGCAAAAATGAAGGTAACAATAGTACCCTGAAGAGTAATTTTGAAGACTAAGATGTGAATATTCCTGGCACATGGTTGATGTTTCCTTTAATTCAGTTCACAAAAGTGAGCACTGAGGAAATAAAACAGCTGAAGTGAGGTCACACAGCTGGTCAGCGGCCGAGCTCAGCACCCTTGGTCCAATACACAGCATGGATAATGGGGTTCCAGACTCCTGGGAAGTGGGATACAGGTTCATATAACCAAACCAGGGGTGTCCAATTGTTGGTTTGCCTAGACCATGCTGGAAGAATTGTCCTGGGCCACACATAAAATGCACTAATACTAATGATAGCTGATAAGCTTTAAAAAAAAAAATTGCAAAAAAAACTCATAATGTTTTAAGAAACTTTACGAATTTGTGTTGGGCCACATTCAAAGCCATCCTGGGTTGCACACGACCCATGGGCAAGCAAGACAAGCCTGCTCTAAACAGAATTCCAGAGACTGCATGTGTACATAAGCCTATAAAGAGAAGTTCTGCTTCCCTTTTTAATAACTTCTCTCTTTAAAACAGATGTACGGAAATTTTTAAAAAAATTTTTTTTTTGAGACAGAGTCTTGCACTGTCGCTCAGGCTGGAGTGCAGTGGTGCAATCTTGGCTCACTGCAAGCTCCGCCTCCGGGGTTCAAGCCATTCTCCTGCCTCAGCCTCCCGAGTAGCTGGGACTACAGGTGCCCGCCACCACGTCCGGCTAATTTTTTCTATTTTTTCTAGTAGAGATGGGGTTTCACCATCTTAGCCAGGATGGTCTCCATCTCCTGACCTCGTGATCCGCCCGACTCCACCTCCCAAAGTGCTGGGATTACAGGCACGAGCCACCGTGCCCGGCCTAAATTTAAATTTTTTAAAGTTGCATATGCTCTTAACAGTTTTTGAAAATTAGTATCCATAACCCCATTATCCATTTAACTGCTATTAAAGTTGGTGTATTTCCGGCCTATTAGATATATTAGGATTTATTTAACAAAACTGGTATCATGCCACACACGTAGTTTTGATTTCTTTTTGAGACAGGGTCTCACTTTGACACCAAGGCTGGAGTGCAGTGACCTGATGTCAGCTCACCGCAGCCTCAACTTCCCAGGCTCAAGGAATCCTTTCATCTCAGCGCCCCCAGGTAGCTGGGACTACAGGTGTGTGCCACCACGCCTGGCTAATTTTTTAACTTTTTGTAGAGTCCAGGCACAGTGGTTCACGCTTGTAATCTCGCCATTGTGGGAGGCAAAGGCAGGCAGATCATCTGAGTTCAAGACCAGCCTGGGCAACATGGTGAAACCCTGTTCTCTATTAAAAATACAAGAATTAGCCAGGCATGGCGGCACACACCTATAATCCCAGATACTCGGGAGGCTGAAGCAGGAGAATCGCTTAAACTGGGGAACCAGAGGTTTCAGTGAGCCGAGACAGCCTGGGCAACAGAGGGAGACTGTCTCAAAATAACTTTTTGGCCGGGCACGGTGGCTCATGCCTGTAATCCCAGCACTTTGGGATGCTGAGGTGGGCGAATCACATGAGGCCAGGAGTTCAAGACCAGCCTGGCCAACATGGCAAAACCCTGTTTCCACTAAAAATACAAAAAAATTAGCCAAACATGCTGGCATGTGCATGTAATCCCAGCTACTCAGGAGGCTGAGGCAGGAGAATAGCTTGAACCTGGGAGGCAGAGGTTGCAGTGACCAAGATCATGCCACTGCACTCCAGCTTGGGTGACAAAGCAAGATTCCTCAAAAAAAAAAAAAAAAAAAAACTTTTTTGTAGAGACAGGATCTCACACTGTTGCCCAGGTTGGTCTCAAACTCCTGGGCTCAAGTGATCCTCCCATCCCAACCTCCCAAACCTCCCAAAGTGTTGGTATTATCCTTCACAGAAGACTGATCTATTTCTTAATTTAGAGATGGGGCCTCCCTATGTTGCCTAGGCTGGTCTCCAACTCCTTGGCTCAAGCGATCCTCCCACCTCAGCCTCCCGAGTAGCCAGGACTACAGGCATGTGACACCACACCTGGGACACGGAAGAGCTTCATTAACCACACTCATGCAAAGCTGGCTTCTCCCCCAGGCACTGGATGCAAAGGGTCTCAGACTCACAACACTTTTAGGAGCCATCAAAACATTTTAATTTATTTTAAAATCAGAAGAAAATAAATGAACTTTTAGAGTCAAAGAAATGTCCTCATTTTTAATCCAGCTTGGATTTTATTTATCTTTATACCAATATGGTCATAATTTTTTTTTTTTTTTTTTGAGACAAGGTCTCACTCTGTCACCCAGGGTAGAGTGTGGTGGGAGGATCATGGCTCACTGCAACTTCTGCCTCCTGGGCTGAAGCCATCCTCCCGCCTCAGCCTCCCAAGTAGCTGGGACCACAGATCAAAAATAAAATAAAATAATGGCTAGGTGTGGTGGCTCACATCTGTAATCCAAGCACTTTGGGAGGCTGAGGAGGGTGGATCACCTGAGGTCAGGAGTTCGAGACCAGCCTGGCCAACATGGTGAGACCCCCTTCTCTACTAAAAATACAAAAAATTAAAATACAAAAAATTAGCTGAGCGTGGTGACATGCACCTGTAATTCCAGCTACTTGGGAGGCTGAGGCAGGAGAATCACTTGAACCTGGGAAGTGGAGGTTGCAGTGACCCGAGATCGTGCCCCCGCACTCCAGCCTGGGCGGCACAGTGAGACTCCGTCTCAAAAATAATAATAAATTAAAAAACAAGAAGTGTACTCACTGAAGTGCCCTCCCTCCCTCTCCCCACTATTATTGACCTCCTCTACTTATAGTCTTAGAAGCTTGGGGTAATTTGATGGCAATTTCCCTTCTCCTCCCCACCCTTAAATTGGTCTTAAGGGGTACAGAAATTGCATTTTAGAGAGGGAACTACATGCTGGGAGACATGGCTTGGGGGCTGCAGCCGAGGGGTGGATTTACCTTTGAATCAGAAGAAGTGGGGAGGTTGGTTCTCAAGGAATGAGGGGCATCTTCTTCAGGAGGCTGGAGAAAGGCCTGTTGGTGGGCTCTGGCTGGAGAGGACCCTGGAAAGGAGGGATTGCGGGTCAGGATGCAGCCTGGGGGAGGAAGACAGGAGGGATCCTGGTCTAGTCCTCCAACCATGCCAGTCTCCTGTTCACTCCCCAAACGCTTGTTGCTGCCACTTCCTGACACCCACCATGTGCCGGCCAACACACTCCTCAAGCATCACCTCAGGATAAGCCTCTGACTCCCCTACGACCTGGGGCCTATTTATCATCCCAGTTGACAAGTGGAGACACAAAGGCACCGGAGGTAGATGCAGTGCTCAGGACCACCCAGCCAGTAGACGGTAGAGTCAAAATTCAGACGGAAATCCGTTTGACTTCTAGGCCCTGCACTATCTCACCTCCTACTCAAAGAGCAGAAAAAGACACAGAGGTGAACTAGCTACCGAGCCTGGCTTCCAGAAACCTCCACCGTGGCAGGGATGCAATAACCATCCTCCGAGGATATATCTGAAAGCGAGGTCAGAGGGAGGAGACACCATAACAGGCTGGGAGATGAGGAGGATTCACAGAGGAAGGGGCACCTGACCTGGGCTTGAAAGACGGAGAAACGTTTTCAATAAGCAGATATGGGGCAGTGGAACTAGCCCATGCAGAGGTGGGGCAGTAGAAGGGCCCGGGGCTGTAGTAAGTTAACATCTAGGTACACAAATTAGGAAACATCATGCCAGGCACTGTTCTAAATACTTCACGTCTGTAATCCCAGCACTTTGGGAGGCTGAGGCAGGAGGATTGCTTCAGCCCAGGAGTTTGAGATCAGCTTGGGCAACATGACAAGATCCCGTTTCTACAAAAGATTTTTTTTTCTTTTTTTTTTTTTTTTTT